CGGGAGGAACAAGTGACCAAGTGAGACAGTGGTGGGAGTGGAGTAGCGGGCCTTAATCGCAGTGAGGAACTCGCTAGCAGAGCAAACCTGAGTGAAGTGCGGGACTGGGGGAGCTGATGATGAGCCTAGTGCACCCCCTAGTGGCTCGCCCGCTGCGTCTGGTGCAGGTGACGCTAGGGGTGGTCAGGGACCTACAGGGTTGCCAGCCGGAGGCGCAAGAGTGGCGGCCTGGTACTTTGCTCACCACCAGCAGCAGCAGCAGTAGCCCTTGCGCTCGCAGCAGGTACAGCAGCAGCAGCAGGTACAGCAGCAGCGCCTAGGTCAGCGTCCGCTATCATGTGGCGACGCCCACCCGCCCTGCCCATACTTCGTTCAGACCGGTACTCATAGTGGTTCCCGCTACGGCCGCCGTCACCCACCAGGTGAGTGCTTTGCTTAGCTCACTGATCGTCTTCGTGCGGCGTACAACGCAGACGGCCCTGCACCTGACTGGCTCCCTCTTGTTCGCTCGCACGTCCCTGCTTTGTGGGACATGTCTGCATCTCAGTTGCTTGACCTCTTAGGATCTGTGCATGCTATGTATGCTGATGTTGACTATAGTGCTCCTGGACCTGGACCTGCCCGGCAGCGCGCCGCTCCTCACTCCTCCTCGTTTCCCCCGACGACTGCTGTCAACGGGAGTTGTATGTTGGCCCCGTCCTCGCTTGGGCGGTGCCGACTTCGTGGTCGGGTGTAGGGTGCAGCCGACCTGCAGCAGTGGGCGAGTTGGTCGACGAGGTTGGTCGACCTGCACGGGGAGCCACTGCATGGGCGCCGACTTCGTGAGGGCGCCAACTTCGGGTGGTCGACCTGGGCAGTCGACCAGACCTTCTGGTCGACCTGGGAAGTCGACCAGCCCTTCTGGTCGACCTGGGAAGTCGACCAGACCTTCTGGGTCTGGTCGACGAGGCTCTCTACTTCAAGGTCGGCGTCGACAAGGTGACCTGTTGGGTGCTGGTCTACGTCGACGACCTACTGTATTGGCAAGCCGCGACTCTGCACTGCTGGGGCGCGGTCGACCAGGTCGTGCTGGCACGCGGTCGACCGTGCTGCGCTGGCAGTCGTCCTGCTTGCATGCTAGCTCTGATGTAGTCTTGCCTTGCCAACTTCATTGTATCATTGTTGTCAACTTTCTCTAGTGAAACTCTTGCCAAATTACCTTGTGAACTAGCAAGCAGTGTGTACACTAGGAAAACGACTAAGGACCAACGAACGCAGAGATCACACGAGCACCCGTGCCTAGCCCGTAGTCTAGCTCTCGTTGTAGTAGTTATCTCCGCATGGTGCGGTGAGCGTGGACGGCACACGACTTACCTTTCAGTCAGGTCGACGTAGACATCACTTACCTAAGTTGTTCGTAGGCCGGCAGCCGTGCAGTCACTAGTGTGCGCGTAGGTGACGCCAAGGGAATGGAGACCCTGGAAGCACAGCTGGAGGACGCGAGGACACGTCATGGGGCCCAGGAGTACGGAACGATCCCCTGGGCGGTTGTGGAGGCTGGCATTCGCACCATGTGGGCGACGTTGCACCCTCCTCAACCTGCGTCTCCTCGACCGGTGAACACAGAGGGCGGCGTCGACGTGGGCGTCAACGCCGGTGGTGACCAGGTCGGCAGCAGTGCGGGAGGCACATCGAGGCAGAGAGGTGTGATACATGCCGATGAAGTCGGCGGCATTCAGGCGCAGGAAGTGCGGCCGTCGGCGGCTGCGGGCTCCTCGCATGGCAATGTTGGAGGTCGACGAAGCGGGCTGTCGCCGATGTCGGCAACTCAGGTGACGGCGGGCGGGATTGCACCGAGCTACGGCTACTTCAAGTTCACGCCGGACAGGATCTTGGTCACTCCGCCGCTCACTGGTCGACCCGACATACTCACCTGGAAGGAAGCCATCGAGCCCCAGCTGGAGATGGCCGGGCTGATCAGCTTTGCTCGAGGCACCGTGGCGACGCCGGACGATCCCGACTTGCGTGCGGAGTTTCGTGCCGTGCAGCTGTTGACCTTCACGGTCATCTCGCGGTGCTGCTCACCGGGCGTGCAGATCGCCTTGAAGTGGTGCCGGGAGTACCTCGACGCCGGCCACCGGGCGTGGCACTTCATCGAGTCGACCTACCAAGTCACCGACGACTTGTTCATCGCCCAGCTTGAAGGGCAGCTGACGCACCTGCGTATGGGCGACCAGGAGACTGCGACGGACTACTGCAACCGAGCTCGGCGGATTCTTGCCACCATCAGGATGGCCGGCGCGGAGTACTCGACGGCGTCGTACGTCACCCATGTCATGCAGGGACTCCCGAGCAGCTACAACCTGCTGAAGCGGCTGTCGATGGCGCCGAGCACGCGGGCGACGCTCAACGAGGACACGTTGACCTCGTACATCCTGCAGGACGAGGCAATGCAGGAGGCCGAGCGGTCCCAAGAGCTCTTGGCGCAGGTAAACTACGTCGCCCCGGCGAAGCAAGGTGGTCGACCGGGGCAGCGTGGACAGTCTGGCAGCGGTGGTAGCAGTGGCTCGAAGCCGGCCAAGGAAGTCGACAAGAAGAAGTCGACCAAGGACAGCGGTCGAGGAGGAGGAAGTCGACGTCGGGAGTGCTGGCTGTGCGGCGACCCCGACCACCTCTCCTTCGAGTGCCCCGACCGCGGTGACTCCGACGACGACGACGCCAAGGGAGGCCGTGGAAGGTCTGGCAGTCGTCGTCCTCGTCCAGGAGGAAACCAGCCGCGCAAGGAGAAGCAGTCGACCAAGTCGTCAACCTCGGCGAAGGACGCCGACTCCTCTGCTGGCGGAAAAGGGCGTGACGACAAGTCGGCGTCGTGCTCCCTGGTCGGCGTCGTGGAGCCGACCGTCTCGCTGGCGCCGGAGGCCGGTGAGGACTTCCAGGCGATGGCAGCAGCGGTGCAGGCGAACCCGGCGGTGGTCCTGCTGGATAGCGGCTGCTCCCACCACCTGATGGGGACGAAGGACGCCTTTGTCGACTTGGGACCGAGCGGCGACGTGAAGCACGTGCGTGGCTTCAATGGGGCGCTGCAGGACGTCCAGGGTCGCGGCACTGTTGCCCTGCAAGGGGAGGCCGGGAAGCAGGTGCTCATCCCCGACGTACTGTACGTCCCGGGTGTACGGGCGAACCTGCTCTCAGCCGGCCAGCTGAAGGAGAGCGGCGTGAAGCTGCAGGAGGATGGCGACGGGATGTTGCTCGTCTCGGCGGCGGGAGACGTCCTCGGTCGGGCGTCCTACACCGGGCGAGTCCTCTGCACCGACCTGCGTCCCTGCTCAACGAGGTCGACGTCGACCAGGACGGAGGCCGTGGCCCTGCGGGCGATCGTCTCGGCGACGAAGTCGACGCCGAACAGGCTGCACGCGCGGCTGGCGCACGTCGGCATGGACACCATCCTGAGCTCAGCGAAGCACGAGGTCGCCACTGGGCTGGACCTCAAGTCGACGTCGGGCACCGACTCACCGTGTGTTTCGTGCGTCGGCGGGAAGCTGGCGCGACACACCTTCCCCGACAAGGGCTCCGACGCCGACGACGTGCTGGCCGTCGTGCACATCGACCTGTGCGGGCCATTCCGCGTGGCTGCCAAGGACGGCAGCCTGTACTTCCTGCTGCTGAAGGACCACAAGACCCGCTACGTGTGGGTGCGGCCGGTCGCCAAGAAGTCCGACGTGCTGCGGGAGTTCGAGCAGTGGCTGGTGATGGCGGAGCGACAGACCAAGAAGTCGGTGCTGATGCGGGGAGGGGAGTTCCTCGGAAAGGACTTCACCGCCCTCGTGGACGGCAAGGGGATCCTCCACGACCTCACCTGCCCATACACTCCGCAGCAAAACGGCATGGCGGAGCGGGAGATGCGGACGGTGGTGGAGTCGGTGCGGACGATGCTGCTGCACATGGGCGTCCAGCACCACTGGTGGCACCTCGCTTTGCGGCAGGCTGTCTGGGTCCGCAACTGCCTGGAGAGGTCGGCGACGCCGGGGACGACACCATACCAGTTGCTCACCGGGAAGAAGCCCGACTTGTCGCTGGCGCGCGTGTGGGGCTGCATGGCGCAGTTCCTGGTCCCCGAGCAGCAGCGTGGTGGGAAGCTGAAGCCGAAGGCCCGATGGGGCCTTCATCTCGGCGTGTCGGAGGAGAGCAAAGGCTGGGAGCTCCTCGACATCGCCGACAACCGGGTGGTCACCACGTCGGACGTGGTGTTCTACGAGGACATGTCGCTGGAGGTGTGGAAGTCGGAGCACGGGCCAGTGTCCGGACGGACGCCGAGCACTCCGCCGACCGACACCTCGACGGCGACGCTGCCTCTGCTCGCGGAGGTCGGTGAGCTCGCTGCTGGGGACATCGCGGTCGACCATCCTCCTTCCCCTCCTCCCACGACCCATGTTTCTCCCCTCGTGGCCGACCTGCGTGGACTGACTCCGGTGTCGGCCTCCGGCGATGAGGGGAGTAGTGGGACGTCGCCTGCGACCAAGAGCATCGCCGGTGGCCGACGTGACGAGCAGCAAGTCGACGTGGGAGTGAAGTCGACGTGGATAAGGGAGGAGCAGGTCGAGGAGGTGCAGCCGACTTGGGTGAAGCCGACAGGGGAGCAGGCAGCAACAAGGCCGACCAAGGAGCAGTCGGCGACCTGGCAGTCGGCAGGGGAGCTGACCGCCGAGTAGGAATCGGTCGGGACGCCGACCGAGGTGCAGCAGGACGACGAGGACGATGAAGGGGAGCAGTTGGGCGACGAGGAGTCCACCGACAGTGACGTGGGAGAGGCCCAGGCTGGACCACGGCGTACAGGCCGCCTTCGGAGGCCTCCCGACTTCTTCGTCCCGGCTGCCTTCACCACGGTGTATGACGTGCCGGTGAAGGAGGCGCTGGCTAGCTGGAAGGGTCCGGCGGTGAAGGCCGCCATGGAGGAGGAGATCCGCAGCCTCATCGGCATGGGGACGTGGGAGCTGGTCGAACGCCCACCCGGGGTCAACATCATGAAGAACCGGTGGGTGTTGACGACGAAGTACCACATCGACGACACCGTCGAGCGCGAGAAGGCGAGGCTGGTCGTGAAGGGCTTCACGCAGGTGTATGGCGCCGACTACGACGAGACGTACGCGCCGGTGAGCAGCTACGTCACGCTGCGGATTTTCCTCAGCATCGTCGCCGTCTTCGACCTCAACCTGATGCAGCTCGACATGAAGAATGCCTTCCTGCAGAGCAAGCTCGATCGCGTGCTTTACATGTACCAGCCGGACTACTTCAATGACGGGACCGGCCGGGTGTGCAAGCTGCTGAAGAGCCTGTACGGGCTGAAGCAGTCGCCGCTGCTGTGGTACAAGGCTCTCAACGACGTGCTGGTCGGCGCTGGCTGGAAGAAGAGTCAGGTCGACGAGGCTCTCTACTTCAAGGTCGGCGTCGACAAGGTGACCTGTTGGGTGCTGGTCTACGTCGACGACCTGCTCGCCGCCAGCAGCAGCACCAAGATGCTGAAGGAGCTGAAGGAGCTGCTGGAGGCCGCCTTCGAGCTGCGCGAGATCTCGCCGGTGCAGAAGTACCTCGGGCTGGAGATCGTGCGCGACAGGTCGGCGGGGAAGCTGTGGCTGCACCAGCAGGGCTACGCCGACAAGCTGCGTAGGCGTTTCATCGATGAGGAGCAGGGCGGTCGGACCCCAAAGACGCCGGTCTCGGTCGACGCCTACGCCGAGCTCACCTTCGACGACGAGGAGGCGCAGGAGCGACAGGAGGAGGAGTACCGGCAGAAGGTCGGCTCGCTGCAGTTCGCGGCGACGACGACGAGGCCGGACATCGCCTTCGCCTACAGTGAGGAGCGACCAGCACTGGCGCGAGGTCGACCGCTGCCTTGCCTACCTCGCCAACACGCGTGACACCGCCCTGGAGTTCGGCGGTGGACCTGAGTCGCTGGAGCTGGTCGGCTACGTGGACGCCGACGATGCCGGCGACAAGCAGAACAGGACGAGCACGGGCGGCTACGTGTTCGTCTACGGAGGAGCCGCAGTCTCCTGGTCGAGCCAGCGCATCAAGTGTGCGACGCTGTCGTCGACCGAGTCGGAGTACGTGGCGGCCGTCGAAGCTGGCAAGGAGGGACGCCGACTTCGCTTCCTCCTAGCAGAGTTCCAGCAGCTAGATGCTGGGAGGCCGACGGTCCTAAGGGTGGACAACAAGTCGGCCATCACAGTCGCCGAGGGCATGGGGTTGACGGGCAACCTCAAGCACATGGAGCGGCGACAGGCCTGGCTGCAGCACATGGTGAAGCGGGGGAAGTTTGCGCTGCAGTACATCCCGACCGCTGAGCAGCCGGCCGACTTCTTGACGAAGGCGCTGCACTATCCGGCCTTCAACCGGTGCTCCGTTGCAATCGGCCAAGTGCGTCTGGCCGACGTGGGCGACGGCGACGACGACGTGCAGCAGTAGGTGCCATGCCCTTTTGCATGGCTGGTGCGGTGGACAACGTGCTGTGGGTTGGGTGCACGTAGACGAGATTTTCTCCGAGAAGTACTGTCGTGTGGGCTGGGGGCCCAAGCGTGAACGTGGCAGGGGAGTGTCAACGGGAGTTGTATGTTGGCCCCGTCCTCGCTTGGGCGGTGCCGACTTCGTGGTCGGGTGTAGGGTGCAGCCGACCTGCAGCAGTGGGCGAGTTGGTCGACGAGGTTGGTCGACCTGCACGGGGAGCCACTGCATGGGCGCCGACTTCGTGAGGGCGCCAACTTCGGGTGGTCGACCTGGGCAGTCGACCAGACCTTCTGGTCGACCTGGGAAGTCGACCAGCCCTTCTGGTCGACCTGGGAAGTCAACCAGACCTTCTGGGTCTGGTCGACGAGGCTCTCTACTTCAAGGTCGGCGTCGACAAGGTGATCTGTTGGGTGCTGGTCTACGTCGTCGACCTGCAGTGTTGGCAAGCCGCGACTCTGCACTGCTGGGGCGCGGTCGACCAGGTCGTGCTGGCACGCGGTCGACCGTGCTGCGCTGGCAGTCGTCCTGCTTGCATGCTAGCTCTGATGTAGTCTTGCCTTGCCAACTTCATTGTATCATTGTTGTCAACTTTCTCTAGTGAAACTCTTGCCAAATTACCTTGTGAACTAGCAAGCAGTGTGTACACTAGGAAAACGACTAAGGACCAACGAACGCAGAGATCACACGAGCACCCGTGCCTAGCCCGTAGTCTAGCTCCCGTTGTTGTAGTTATCTCCGCAACTGCTCCCCTGCAGACTCTCCATATGGACGTGTGGGGCCCAGCCCGCGTCAATGGACAGGACCGCGAGCGATACTTTCTGCTGGTTGTTGACGACTACTCGCGTTACACCACGGTCTTCCCCTTGCGCAGCAAGGGGGAGGTCCCTGATGTCTTGATCCCTTGGATCCGCGCTGTCCGTCTCCAGCTCCTGCGTCTGCACTCTGACAGAGGTGGTGAGTTCTTCTCCCACCTTCTTCGGGACTTTTGTCGTGGGGAGGGCATCCTCCAGTCGTTCACACTTCTGGCCTCCCCGCAGCAAAATGGGGTTGCTGAGCGCCGCATCGGCTTAGTCATGGAGGTGGCTCGTACCTCCATGATCCATGTGGCTGCTCCCCATTTTCTGTGGCCGTTTGCGGTCCAGTACACTACACATCAGCTCAATCTCTGGCCCCGTGTCTCCTTGCCGGAGACCATGCCTACCCTGCGTTGGACGGGGGAGGTTGGCGATGCGTAGCTATTCCGGTTCTGGGGCTCTCGTGCCTTTGTCCGCGATACCTCCGCGGACAAGCTCTCCTCCCGCACCATTCCCTGTGTCTTCCTTGGCTTCCCGCCTGACGCGCCTGGCTGGCAGTTTTACCACCCCACCTCGCGCCGTGTTCTGTCCTCTCAGGACGTCACGTTCGACGAGTCGGTTCCCTTTTACCGTCTCTTCCCCTACCGCACTGCCCCTCTCCCCCCCCCGCTGCTCTTCTTCGCTCCAGTTCCCCCTCCCCCCTCAGGGTCCTGCTCCTTCAGGTGTGTCTCAGGTAGACCCACTCCCCTTGGCTGAGCCTTTCGAGGTCACTTCCGACACCTCTGGCCCAGCTGAGGGGGGTGACGTTGCTGCTGACGACGCAACGACCTCCCGCCGCTCACCACGCTTGGAGACCCCTCCGGGTTTTCCACCTCGGCCGTCTTCGCTGCCTCTGCAGCCAATTGCTGTTGACTCTGGTGCTGCTGGGGGTGGTGCTGCTAGGGGTGCTGAGTCTGGGGGGGCTGAGCCTGAGGGTGCGGAGCCGGGGGGTGCTGAGTCTGAGATTGCGGAGCCTGGAGGTGCTGAGCATAGGGGTGCCGAGCCTAGGGGTGTTGAGCCTGAGGGTACTGAGTCTTGGGGTACTGAGCCTACGGGTGCTGAGCCTAGGGGTGCTACGTCTGCTGGAGGTCCTACAGGTGCCTCGCCGTAGCGGTCTTGCCGGCGAGAGCCTCTCTCACCACAGCAGCTGCGCGAGTGGTTTGCTCGGCGCACCCGCCTTCGGAGTGTCGCTGCTGGAGCAGGAAGCACTACCGCTGGAGGCGCTGGCGCTGGAGGCACTGACGCTGGAGGCACTGGAGCTGGAGGCGCTGATACTGGAGGCCCTGGAGCTGGAGGCGCTGGAGCTGGAGGCGCTGGCGCTGGAGGCACTGGAGCTGGAGGCGCTGGAGCTGGAGGCGCTGGAGATGGAGGCGCTAACACTGGAGGCCCTGGAGCTGGAGGCGCTGGAGCTGGAGGCGCTAGAGCTGGAGGCGCTGGTGCTACTGGAGCAGGAGGTGCTGGTGATGTTGGAGCTAGAGGTACTGGAGGCGCTAGAGGTGATGGTGCTGCTGGTACTCGAGGTGCTGCTGGAGCTGGAGGCGTGGAGGTGCTGGTGCTAGGGACCTTGGAGCTGGAGGTGCTGACGCTGGAGGCACTGGAGCTGGCGGTACTGGTGCTGGAGGCACTTTGCAACGGCGACCGTTTTTCTTGCCGCCACCGCAGCTGTCACTGCTACCGCCTGCGTTGGTGCTCCGTCAGGTTCTTAGTCTCTCTTCGTCCACTGCCCTTCCTCCGGAATCACCACTGCCTGCCCCCCCTCGTTACACTGAGCAGCCAGCCTCCCTTACAGAGCGTCGTGAGCCTGTGTCTCGTCCTGCCTCCCCTGTTTGCACTGTTCGCCGTGCTCGTCGTGTTCCCCGTCCTCGTCCTCCACCTGTCCCCGGCACGCACACTATGGCACTGCGTACTTCCTCTGTTCCACAGCGAGTTCCCCTGCCGTCTCCTCCGGCGTCCTCTCTTCCTGACGTTCCGGACCCTGAGTCTGACTTGGTTCGTACTACCAGCCCTACTACCACACGTCTCCTGGCCACAGTCGTCACTGACCCGTCGTTTGAGTCTACTGTTGCGTCTGCCTTAGTTGCTGAGCTTGTGGACTTTGCTGCTGCGTGTCGTCTCGACTACGCTGCTAGTCTTGTTGCTGAGTCTGAATCTGTCTGTCCTCCGTCCGTCGGGGGTGAGTGTGCTCTTGGCACGGGCGTCCTTGAGGACAGGCAGGAGGACTTTGAGTGTCTTGCAGCTGCTGTACCTCATCTCGTGGCCATGCTGCTTGCACCTGAGGGAGACCCGGATGCACTGGACATCCCGACCCCGCGCTCTTACGCAGAGGCGATTACGGGTCCCTACTCCTCTCAGTGGCAGACAGCCATGGACGCAGAGATGGCATCCTGGAAGTCCACAGGCACTTACATCGACGCAGTTCCCCCTCCTAGGGCGAACATAGTCGATGGCATGTGGATTTTCAGGGTGAAGCGGCCGCCGGGTTCTCCGCCTGTCTTCAAGGCTCGTTACGTTGCACGAGGCTTTAGTCAGCGACAGGGAGTTGACTTCTTCCAGACCTTCTCCCCTACCCCGAAGATGACCACTCTTCGGGTGCTGTTGCACGTTGCCGCTCAGCGTGACTACGAGCTTCACTCTCTTGACTTCAGCACAGCTTTCCTACAGCCTAGTTCTCCTCCAGTTCTGTACGTAGACAACAAGGCTGCCATTACCTTGTGTCAGGAGCACAGACTGGAGCACAAGACGAATCACATCACTCTACGTTACTTCCTTGCTCGAGAGTTGCAGTAGCGTGGTAAGCTTCATCTTGCTTATGTGGCCACACGGGCCAACACAACTGATATATTCACCAAGGCACTTCAGCCTGGTGATCATCAGCGTTTCTGTACTTCTCTAGATCTTGTGCCTGCTTTGTCTCACTTGCTCACTGCGTGAACTTGCTTGTAATGTGATCTATATATAGGTATACCTGCATGTTTACTCTTGCTAGGTTATGATCACTGTACTGTTTGTTCTCTTTTATATAACTCTGCACATGAACTGGCCTTGTGGCTTTTTGCTTGTGCTCGGATTGTGTGGTGACTTCGTGATCCACCCTGAGCTTGCTTTGCTTTTCTTGACTGGTCTTGTGACCACTTGGTCTCCCCCACTTTGCCTATGGGGGTGTGTCAAAACATTATATTGGTTGTGTTATGTAGGCTGCAGTGGGGTAGCCCATAAGGGGTACAACCCAATTAGGGTTAGTACTTGTACTCAGTTTGTTCTCAATGCATTCCTTCTCGTTCAGTATTTTGACAACTGTTTCAGTCTGGGCTCTGGCACTGTGTCATGGAGGTCTACTCGGTCCTCGTCTGTCGCGACCTCTACAGTTGAGGCCAAGATTTACGCCGGATCCATGGCTGCACAGGAGCTGCGCTGGTTGACCTTCTTGCTCACTGACCTTGGTGAGTGGCCGAGCTCTGCACCGACCTTGTTTATCGACAACAAGGCGATGATTCTCTGTGTCGAGAGTCGCGACTGGAGAGCAAAGTAAAGCACATCGACATCAGGTACTTTCTCCTTCGAGAGTTGCAGAGACGCGGACAGGCTCGTCTGGACTTTGTGGCCTCCGAGGCCAATACTACAGACATTTTCAGCAAGGCCCATCCACCTTGTGACCACCACAGATTTTGTGTGCAATTAGGCTTCGTTGACACAGGTTCTTGTCAGAATCTAGCAGCAGGAGTGAATGCATTGATCAGAAAGTTGGTACAAGTATGACCCTAATTGGGCTGTACCCCATATTGGCTACCCCACTACAGCCTACACAACACAATGTTCTGACACACCCCCATAGGCAAAGTGGGGGAGTACAAGCAGTCACAGAAAAGCAAAGCAAGCTCAGGGTGGATCACAAAGTCACCACACAGTCCGAGCACAAGCAAATGGCCACAAGGCCAGTTTATATGCAGGGTTTTATAAAACAGAGCAAGAAGTACAGTGATCACAACCTAGCAAGAGTAAGCATGCAGGTATATATATAGATCACAGTACAAGCAAGGTCACGCAGTGAGCAAGTGAGCAAACGTAGGCACAAGGCCTAAAGCAGTACACAGACGCTGATGATCACCAGGCGGAAGTGCCTTGGTGAAT